CCATCCATCCATCCATCTATTCATCTAACCACTACCCATCCAACTCTCTATCCATCCACTCACCCACCCATTTACCTATCCATCCACCCATCCATCCATTACCCATTCAACCCTCCATCTATCCATCCATCTTTCCATCCATCCACCCACCTATCTACCCATCCATCCACCACTTATTCCACCTTCTATTTATCCATCCATCCACCCACCCACCTACCCATGCACCCATCCATCAGTCAATTTCTCCTTCTTTCAGGAGAGCTTTATGTTACCTCCCCAAAATGTTAAAGTTCAAAGGGAACTTTAAGTCAGGGAAGATATCATATGGACAGGCATTACTTTAATATATTGCTTTTCTTCACCCTCACACCAACCATCTGCTAGGAAAGATTCTGAAGCTGTACACATTTCATCCCTGGGCCCTTTTTTTTTTTTTTTTTACTTATAATGTCAAAACCTATGATTTATAAAAGAAATGATATTGTACACATATGATAAGCTGCCATTTAATTCTGTAAAACAGGTGTTCCCCCATTGTTACAGGGGTGGGGGTGGAAAATGAAGCTTTAGTAATATCAGACCCCTCCTCCCCAGAGGGAGAACACTGGTCAGCTCTTTCTACCCTCCTGCCCTGCCACCTTAGCTGCTTATGACTCCAGAGTCCGCTGAAACACAACACTTAAGGCCACTCAAAAATGAAGACACCCCCAGGAACGGACAGGAAGCTGTGAGTCCCTGGGACTTGGCATCACCTGGGCTATCACCGCACGTACCTGGTCGAAGAGTTCGAAGAGCTTGGCGCTGGGCTGGTGGATGGTACAGATGATGGACCTCCCTCCTTGAGCCAGCCCTTTCATCAGGGAGACCACCTGGAAGCAGGAGGCACTGTCCAGCCCACTGCAAGGCAAGGGGCACCGTGAGATGCCTGTGGGACCCCCCCAAACCGTACCCCATATTCACAGCACAGTGGGGAGGTCCATCCTACAGGCCTGAGCCTGTCATGTCTTCTAGAGTCAGACAGGGAGAGGGTGGGAAGTCAGGCCTCTGCTCTGGGACCCCAGGACAGAGAAAAAGATGGGTAGGCAGAGCACATGCCTCCCCCTTTGGAGGCAACTCCAGGGGCCCCTGCTGGTGGAGAGGGCAGGGCTCTTCCCTCCGCTGCTCTTGATTACCTGGTGGGCTCATCAAAGAACATGACAGGAGGGTTGTTCACCAGCTCCAGGGCAATGGCCAGGCGCTTCCGCTGGCCGCCCGAGAGGCTCCCAGTCCGCGTGTTGGCACAAGACAACAAGCCCAGAGCCGTCAGGATCTCTTTGACCTGGGGGAGCAGCAGAGCCAGTGTCATCAGGGACTACCCGCCACACCTCACCACCTGGAAACACCTGCCGCCCCCCCCCAGCCCACTCATGGACACACACGGATGGGGTTGCTTATCGGGGCCCATCCCAGGCTGCCTGTTGCCAAGTGGGAAGGTGCTTTTCCAAGTTCGAGTTCCTGGGTTTGGGGCCAGGAGGCTGGGGAGCAGTGCTGGACCCAGGCCTGCTGGGACTGGAGGCCCCGTTCTGCCTCCTGCTGGTGACCTGGCAGGCTCCCACCCTTGTAAGCCTCGCTCAGGCCCAGGAAGGTGACAATGACCATGTGCAGAACGGGGGGCCCAGGAAGGTGCTCAATGACCATGTGCAGAACGGGGGGCCCGGGAAGGTGCTCAATGACCATGTGCAGAACGGGGGGTGCGGGAAGGTGCTCAATCACCATGTGCAGACACACAGCCAGTGGATGATCAGGTGTCTGAGCAGCACAAAGGGGAGGGCCATCATGACGGCAACAT